CAGTGAGAGAGTCGAAATCTACATTTGTAATAAGTGATTAATGATGTTGGAGGGCCTGGGGTCAAACTTTTACAAACGCTGGTTGGGTTTCTAAAACAAAATGCTTCCAGCTATACTCCCAGGACACCTGTTTACCAGAGGGTCTCCATCATCCATAGAGCACAGAGCCTGACCCCTGGCCCTTAGAAGGCTCTCTGGAAAGGTCTCCTCTTCTACTTATGCTGGCCCCAACCTGTTCTAGGACCTCAGTGTCAATGCCAGTGTCCCTGATCTATTAAGGGGGACCTGAAGATCTTGGAAGTTCCCAAGACTACACTTGGTGTTCTGATGGATGGAAGGGCAGACCGTCCCACTTACCAATTCTGACACCAACCGCCCTCCCACAGCATTCTCAGCTTTAGCACTTCACTGCAGTGGTAGCACACGCCTGGGAAACACTCATGTTTGTGGGGTTTATTAGGTTAGAAGTGCTATAACTCAGGGTGGGGGGCTGCGGAAGCAACAGAAACAACTCAGGGTAGTTTCTTCTCACTCTCTGCCTGCGACCCCCCTAAGGTTACTAGGCACTTATTTACATTATGAGCAATCTCTCCAATCCTTTTGGTAGTCTACAAAATCTCATGTGCACCCTGTCATTTAGGCTTGTCATTTGGTGGGAGCTACAAAGATGATAGCTAGAAGATTAAGCAATCCATGGCATCCCAATGGTTAACACAGTCGCTTGCTAACTGAGAGCTGGAGGTTCCAGTACACCCAGAGGGGACTCAGAAGAAAGGCCTGGTGATCTACTACCAACAAATCAGCCTGGACTCTGACACACATGGGGTCACCAGGAGTTGGGACTGAGTTAATAGCAATTGCTTTGGGATCCTGGAAAAGTGTGGGACGGGCATCAGAGCTGTCCTAGCTAGCTCCATCAGGGCTGCTGGGAAGGTCTTTGGCTCACCTTGAATTTTCTGGAAGAACTTGTTCACATTTACTAAAAAGGAGATGGAAGTTCCAGAACAGGCGTTTTTCCTCGCCAAGGAGACTGAACTCAACAAACAAACAAATGGAAAAAAAATCCC